TCCATGCGCCCCTTGCCCTTCACCTCCACTGGCCCGCGCGGCTCCAGTCCGTACCCGCGGCGCTCCAGCACCTAAATCAAGACTCAATTTATTTTTTGGACCTTGATCATAGCAAAAGATTAAAACGAATAGTACCTGCTTGGTGTACTTGGTGACCTGTATGCGGTCCATGGCGCCGGTGCTCTCCATGCGCGAGGCCTCGTTGACGGTGTTGCCCCAGATGTCATAGACAGGCTTTCGTGCGCCAATCACACCGCCCACCAGCGGCCCGCAGCTTATGCCTGCGTAGAACAGTTTCTTTTGAGACAAACTGCATAATAGGAGCTACAAGTGGCTGGAAAATTTATCAGCCGTTGCCTATTACGTAGTGTGCAATGCTTACCGATTCGCAAACGGAACTTGTTGAAGCTGTGCTTGTTGATGTCGTCGAGCGCCTCGCGCAGCGCGAATGCGTAGTCCACCAGCGCACACAGGTGCTCGCATTCGTCCTGTCCGCTCTGAGAATAATATCATTCACCTAAAATTCTATTTGACTGACAAAAGATAGTATATTCCAATCCCATATGATCCACTGTCACATGACATGTTGCCAACAATACATTAACATAAAAGAACCGTGTGCTTACTCTGTGATTAGGATTAAGACCGGAAGCCGCCATGTACGTCGCGCCGATAGTTTTGATCTTCTCTATGCTCTTGAATCTTGGCTGCATCAGCAGTTTGTCAAAGTCAACTGAGAAAATATTAAAAAATGCTATAGCAACCACTGCGTAAGTGATCAGAACAATAATGATAAAGAGGAATCAGTTGGTACATTACAAATTATTTCGTTGAGCAGGCGCATGCAGTCGATGGCCTTCTGCTCGGAGTAGAACTCGTGAAAGTTGGGAATACCCGCGAACATCACGCCTACTTCGTCTCGCCATTGCGAATATAGCTCCTGAAACAATATCAATAGTTATTAATATCTTTCTTTTAAACGCACTTTTCATATTAAGCTAAATATGAAACTGACATCCGGGCATCGGTCCTTGGCAAGGAAGTGAGCGACGACGTGGTCTGGCAGGATGTGCTTGAGCAGGTGCCGGTTGGTGCGCTGCGTGTCGCGCATCTCCGCGAGGTCGGTCTGCGCCTGCAGCCGCCACAGCAGGTCCAGCCGCGAAGTCACCTCTACCAGCCTCGCGTGGTACACCACCATCACCAGGAACATCACCATCAAGATCAACATCTGCACGTAGAATGGTAGCTGGCTGCAAACAAACAACGGCAGTATAGTTATATCCAGTACGCTATACTCCTATTATAGTATAAACTCTAACTTTACACTTGAACCTATAAAAACTTAATACAATAAAGACTACTCACGTGTTTCTGTTTAAAGTATCAAAGGCGTACTCGTTGTAGTATAGTAGCAGTAGTACCGAGAACATTGCTACATTGAGTACGGCCAGCAGCGTCTTGATGAGGTAGTACAGCTTGAGGATAGAGGTTAGCGCGACCAGGCAAAGAATCCACGTGAAGACGACGTACTCGGGCCGGTAGCACTCGCCCCCGCGCTCACGCTCCGTGCCCGTCATGTTCGGTCTCGCCAACGTACTCGTCGCGTTCCGGAACGAAGACGGACAGATGTATAGCTTAGAAGTGCTGAAATCACAATAGAACTGTACTTTATTCTGAAATTAACAGTAAAACTTGCAAAGACTATATTGTATGCAGGTAAGATAACAATGGTAAATTGTGTGAATTTGACATCAAAAAGTGTATTAGTACCTAGAAATAGACATGATAGTAACGAAGCAGCAGATGTGCAGATTGCGACGGAGCCGCGTGCGGCCGAGCGCGGCGGAGGCACGGGCGAGGCGCGGCGCCACGCCGGGGAACTCCTCTGCCATCACCAGACAGAACGAAAGTACCAGTGGCGCTGTCATTATGCCAAGCGTCGCCACCAGTCGCCAGCAGCTGCACAAATGTATTAAAATGGTATTGTATAGTATGCAGAATAGTATATTAAAGAGAAGATTGTGTATTAGCATTTTACCAATAGGTCATCCGCAAAGAGTAACTGTAAAGTAATCGGTGTATACCCACTTGAAATGTATGACGTATTGCACGGCAAGTATGAAGAGCCAGAGCACGAGGCAGCACATGACGTTGGACTTGAAGGTGCGCTCGTCCTGGCTGGCGAAGCGCTGCTCGAGCGAGGCGCGCCGGAAGCGCAGCGACCACGCGCGCATGTTGTCCAGCCGCATGCGCCGGTTGCTGCTCACCTCGATAGAGTGGTTTATTATATCGTCCTCCTGCAATATCGCGCAACGGTCCATATATTTCTGTGTACTTGTTGGTCTTAAATAAACTATCTAAAAATAAGTTGTCACTCACATCAGACATTGACGTAATTTCAATATCTTGCCCCTGCTCTGCATCCTCGTGTTTGATCAGACGCGGCAGGCGAGTCACTATGGCTGAAGTACTCGAAAAGTACTGTGAACAGGAACATAAAATTACAACAATTCCTCTATCACAACATCCTATTGAACAAATATGACTCTTGGAATATACAAAAACAGACAAATTCTTACGCTTTGAAATGGCAGTTCTGGCGTCCAGTCTGTCGTGGTCTCGTCATCAATGCTGCTGCTAGTGCGACGCGGTGTCTCGCAAGAGGATTGCTGAACCACTTGAATGCTACACAGTAAAAATACTTACAATATTATAATTCCCTATATTGCTTACTAGCAGAAATTCTGCGGAGCTGACAAAATAGAAACTGACCAGTTGGGTCTGGAGCGATGGCGCGTCCTGCGCGGCTGCTCGGAGGATTTAATGAGGTATGTGGAGAGGCCGAGCTCGCGCAGACGCGGGTCGCGCGTCTCGCCCTCGCCCGCTTCCACCTCGAACGTGCCATTGAGACACTCCAGCGTTGCTGACGATATGTGCACCCGCCTAATGAGAAACCTTATCATAGAGAATAGACAAAAGATAACTATAAAACTTGTATGCTGTTTATCCATACCCGGGCAAGCCTCCACTTTCCATATGGTTGGCGATGTTGACGTCGAGCGACCACAAGTCGAACTGCCACTTGAGGAGGCCCAGCACGCCGCACAGCACCGCGCCGCTGTGCACGCCGATACGCATGTCCAGGTCCACCTGAATTTAATAATACAAATTTCTATGCAGCTAAGATAAGATCCTATGGTTTTGATGGAACGATGGAGCCTACCTCGAGATGGAACTCACTAAATCCCCTTTTGGGACTGATTATTAAAGGGACGATTTCGTTATGGCTGAGTAGATGGCGGTCAAATTATTTAACGTGTCGTGTTACCTGAGCATTGTATCGCACATCGCGAATAGCACGTATCATGTGGAGACCCATGTTGACGCAGCAGTAGGCGTGGTTGGTGCGGCGCTCCGGCAGCCCGCTCACACAGAAGTAGCAGTCGCCCAGCAACTTGATGCGAAGGCAGTGGTTCTCCTGAATCAAAACCACTAATTCAGATCCTTTGTGATCGAAGCCGATACAAAGGGATTGTGTCGTAGTGATAACAGAAATTGCGATAAGTAGCCAGTGTTGTGCTTCGGATTACATTTTATTGTATGAATGATTAAAAAATGATTGTCTCTCAACTCACCGATGCTAGTCTATCAAAGCGTGCAAATAGCTCGTTCAATATCTTCACTAACTCTTGAGCATTACATTTACTTGACAGTTCTGTAAAGATTTAATAACATTCAAGATAAAACATATACTTTGTTTTAGAATTGATAGCAGTATATTGATTTATTTTATCATACCTGTAAATCCTTTTATGTCAGCAAATAGTATCGAGACATTTTCGTGCCTCTGAATATAGAGATTATTGAACTGTTGCTCTTGGAATTCCCCCTTCACTCTGGACACATGGCTGTAGATCTCCTTCGCTAAGAAGTCTGGTATCACTGTACAAATAATTGAATTATAATATAACTTTTTGAGGTAATGAATATTTTTGAGAAAAATATAATTATTATAGTTACTAACCACTTTGAAAAAGTTTCCATTGTCGATCACTCTCTCGTTTAGTTCTCTGTCGGGTGACCATGGAGCGATGCGTCTCTAGGAACGCTTTGCGCTGTCCCCAGTCCGTCAGATACTTGGCGTACATTCCCGCGAAGTTCACTGCATTATACAGCAATGCGTTGGCGATTAGTAATCGCAGCGCGCAAGATTGAGCCTGGAGCAAGAACATACGATATTCAACATTTAAGTTAATTCGTATTGGAGAATGATACAAGTAAATAAGCTAAAGCTTACTACTTCAGTGCTGCTATTCATAATATCTTTAATGACGACGGCGGTGGCGAGGACGTGCGACACGGAGGACAGCAGACCGATGACAATGCACCAGCCCAGCGAAAGCGGCAACATGGCGTACGGCGCGAAGATGATGAACAACATATACCACACTTGGTTCTCTGGCGCTTGGAAACCAATGCCTTGACCACTTAAACCTGCATAGAAAAATATGTCTCAATAGTTCCGGCAATTAAAAATCGACTAATGAATAATGAAGTAAACTGGACTGGATAAATCTAACCTAGCGAAAGTGTAAGGAAATTGTTTCATGTGAACTTTTCTTCTTCCACTGTTACAAACAAGATGTTTTATAAGATTGGGCCAAATAGAACTCAGAAATATTTTCCTTTGGCTTTGTATAAAGTTGACTTTGGTAATATTGATACCTTGTGCTATAAGTAGTATCCATGTGGCGGCGGCGGCCCAGTGTAGGTAGTTGTTGGCGAAGCACCGCCAGCAGCCAAGCATACAGACAGCTACATTGAGACAAGCGAATGCCACCGTCCACGCGATCTGGTACCCATCCGCCACCGATTCAACTTAAAAGTAGGGTCAGAAAAAAGGTTCAATATAATGTCAAAATAAAAGATAGGTTTGTATGGACTGCAAAATTTACGTTAAATACTCACTGTCATTTCTATTGGTGAGCGTATAAATTAACGACAAGCATATCTGAAAAAGAATACTTATGTTATAACTAAGTCTATAACATATAAACTTACTTAAGGATGAATGAGGCATCAACCATAGTACTTACAAAATCTAATGGTAACTTTTAACTAAGGAAATAACAATTTTACACAAATAGTAACTTTTATGGGATCATAGAGGTATTTACGACAACAATCTACGTACCCACCTTTAGTGCGAGGTCCACGACGTTCACCATAATGAGAGATTTCTGACGCTGACGTCTAGAATACCGCTGGTATGACAACTCCACTGTTTCATCCTGGAAAAAAAAACAAAGCGTGCTATTCCACTTCCTAAACATGTGTACAAAACATATTGTCATCTCTCTCTATCTAATATAACAGGAAAAGGATAAATGAATTATAAATAATATTAGAAATTCACTTACTTTAAAGCTATTTGTTATTGAAGGCCAAAATATCCCTTTGTAGTACCGTCCAGTCCTCAAGATTGATTCAGATGACACTAATCAAACAAAAATAAATAGGTTAATTATTACAAATAAATTAATATTATTATTTTCTTTAAGTTTGCAAATGCTTTAATAACTACGCTATCGCACCTGGATCACTCTCAGTACGAAATGGGTCGATGCTGTTACGGGGACTAGTTGAAGAACCGTCTTCTTCACTAACACGGTGCTGTAAAAATAACAAATTGCAATTTAGGTTAAGTAAAGCTTATTTCTAATTAATATTTTCTTTGTAAACTGTAGTAGTATTTTAGATTTCATCGAGTATAAATTTTGATGATAAAAACTCAGAAGAGACATATCTCAATCGTTTTTAAACTTCTTACTTATACTACTAGAGTTTTAGACGGGATTTTATAAGTTGTATAATTTGATTCCTTACGTCAATATATTTCAATCCATGAAAGCCCTTTGAAGATTTGTAAATGGACTCGTCCCGGAAAATCGAGTTAGAGTTCGCGAAGTGAGAGCAGAGCCAGAGTGTGCTCCAAATTGTAGGTAATTAAACGCAACGAACTCGTCCCTAAATATACATTTATGCGGAACACGAACTTCCTCAAAGTTTACTTTCTCCTTCGTTATTCAATTAGATACGAATAAAAAGCTTTTGCTTTTTTAATCTTTATTTAGATTAAAAAGTGCTTATTCGAATTTCAAACGAAAACAACTTAAATAATTCACTAAATTTATGGTCAATAGAGTAACATTTTTTCATTATGCATCATCAGAACAAAGTAATTGTTAGAGTTGAATTTGCAATTATCAGTTAAGGTCCAAGTCTCTCAAGGTAAATAAAACTCCAACCTTAAAACCTTTTATAGTTTTTGAGTTTCTCGATCTATCTAAATGTTTAATGCCACTTCTATTTGTTTCGGCTAACAAGCTCTGGGGAAACGTAATGGGCCCTCATAAATAACCTAATATTTACATAACTAATTTATGAAACGAAAGTACTTAGCTGCCAAAAGTTACGGACCTTTGTTTGGCGTAATGGCCAGGGATCGGGGGAAAACAAATTAGTAGCAAGTTTTGCGTAAATCAATTATTTTAGTACGTAAATGAATCACTAGATGAATTTGGGTCGGTAGTGTGTAAAATTGAATATTTTCACGCAAGTTTTATTCGTTAATTTTCAAACAAACCCAAATTGTTTAGCTCTAATGACTGTATAACGTTGCGTTAACATATTTAATAAAATGTAGAAAACCATCAAAACAAAGAACTTCTTACCAAGTTAGAAACCAAAACAACACTCCATCAAATCAGTATAAATATCTAATTTATTATCGACCCACATTCTCTTAGGACTCTGAAACCACCGTTACATTATTTTGACCGCAACTTGTTTAACTGTACACCGTCCTTGCTCCGATTCAATTTGGTGGTTTAATGATTGACGTCAGCGAATATAGTGTTACAACGCGCAGTATTGTTTCAGAACGACTTTTGGGTGCTGTTCAAACGTGAACTGCAAGGTTAGGTTCAAGTGAATTACAAGTATAAGAGGTGTCGATACGTTGTTGCATGATATATGCATGCATACCTGGTCATCAGGTGCGGAGCAGCTAGCCCCATCACCGGGCAGTCGCTCTCCATCAGGTGCCACATCTCCCTCTCCCTCCCTCCCCTCCCGCACCGCCTCGCAGCATAGACCCTGACAAAGTCAATAACATCCAAAACATTACTGAGGTAAATTCGTGCTTATAATGTACCAAGTAGTGTTAATCAGCAATGAACTAGATGTAAGGCGATTTTTATAAGTTTGTGTTTTACATGGAGCACCAAAATTATCAAAAGACAAATAAGGTTTCGAAATTATAATTCAGATTTTGCAAGACCTAGTTAGACAAGATCCAGTTCATTGGATTTAGTTTAATAGGAGTTTGTACGGAGTACATATTTATTGAAAACAATGACTGTGTAGTCTAAACCTCTAATAATCTCTGATAGAATCAGATAGAATAAAATATCAGTAACTTAAATAATAAGTAATGTAAAATAGGGCAAGAAAGTCTGACGAAATTCACTACATCATAAACTTTAACAAGCGATATTAAACACGAAAATTACGTCAATAAAGTGCACAATTAAATCCAAATGCGAATCGTTACACGAACACGTCGGAGATTTACGATTTTGCACCTCCGACTTGTTCACAGTTATCTGTGCTACCGACAAAATAAGATAAAACAAAGTACATTCAATCATTGTGAGGATACTGAATATAACATAACCCATGTAGCTAGCTAAGGACTAAGCTTTGGGTAGGCTTTGATGGTTACAATTCTGCAAAGCTTTTTATATTTCCAATTTTATTAAAAAAGAATAAATACAACCATCTTTTTAATTTAAAATTAGAATATAATCAATGTGTAAGACAAGTTTAACAAAAAAAGTATTAACTTTTACTCTAAATGTTCAAAGGTAATAATAAAAAGGTAGGAGAAGTAACAAATTGTATAAACTCCAAAGAGTAATTTCAGTTCCCTTTGACAACAGTCTCTGGATACTTGTAAAGTGCAGCGAACGAAACCATTTCATTTAACGTCCGCAGTTAGTGGAACGGAATGCGGTGAGGTAATGTACCGGTGCTTACCGCTTTTATTGGCCACCTTTGAACTCGTTTCGAGTTATGGGACTTTCAGCTTCACTTCGACGGAAAAATGTTTACTCTTGAACATAATAAAGGTATACAGCTTTGTGGATGGGTTTTCTTTCAACTGAATGTTCAGATGTTCATCGGATTGATGTTTTGGAAATGCTTGATTCTTCTGTATTTTTATTACGAAGATATCTTGGATAAAGAATACAGAAAGTTGTAAAAATTTATTATCATATAGCAGCAATAGTAAGACTGAAATAAAAATTCTTATTTAAACCAATATACGTGTTTATTGAATATTTTCCAGTGAAATGGTTCTAAATGGTGTTGTTTGTTTAAATTGAAATGCTGCATACGATAAGAAAATGCGCGATCTTTTCTAGAATTGTCGTCTTGGACATTATAGACATTGCAATTTGAAATCAATAGCACATTCTATAAACTTTCAGTTTTTGTTTTATGACGTCTGCGTTTTTACGCAAAATAGCATTAGTAGACTGATAAGTCCATTGTTATTGTATTCGACTTATTTAATTTCTAGGTTACAGTTATGAATCATTAACGTCTGAGTTTTAAGGATACGATCAAAGTTCTATAGATTCCTATGAATAGAGTAAGATTATAGCTTAGATAACAACACTACAGAATGCTAATGTGTTTGCTTAGTGATATAATGCTGACCAATAGTATCCCTTCCATTATCAATACACGAACTCAATTCATGAATATAAAACGAACATTACACAAACTAAACATTTAAAATCTTATTTTTACTACTGCATTTTTAGTTAACTTGTTCAAGCTTAAGAGTTTAAACTGCACATTGGAAAGGTGCCAAAAGTTGTCGGATGTTTTCCATGAAATTAATGCATTTCCTACTAAATAAAGTGAACTTTTAATTTGTTTGACTTTGGACTATTTGCGAGTTAAATTCGACCTATCAAGGTTAAAACCTTTACTGTAATCTACTCAATGTAATTAATTATTCAGCGACTGATATACTAGTGTAGAGTACACTTACAATTTACATTAGAGAGATTGGGAACATCTAATCGATTTCCAGCTAATTCCATTATCATAACAACAATTTTCTAATATGCATCAATAATCATACTCCATACTAATATTATAAAAGCGAAAGTTTAGATGGATGGATATTTGTTAGAGTTTGTAGCCTAAACAACTGGATGGATTTTGATGAAATTTGGTAAAGATGTAGAAAATAGTCTAGAAGAATACATAGGCTACTCACTTTTTTTTATTTCCAAGCAGAGGGAGTCGCGGGCGAAAGCTAGTGACAAACTAAATTTTTAATTTAATTGTAAATTATAAAGCGTCTTATTAAAAATCTATCATAAATTATCTTTCTTCAGCATTGATAAAAAGGTCCGTGGTTCAAGGCGTTGTGCGGACCTCAGACGTTAGAGCGATGACCAAATTGTAATGACACGATCAAAGCTATAGGATAAAAACTGCCCATCAATCATATCTCGGACACATCAAAAGATAAATCGTCATTTCATCAAAGATGTCGCGGATTTTCAGCTGACAAGGGTAAAATGGAGAGTAAATCTTTAACGCATTCACTGCGTAACAGGCTGATATCGGTCTGCCGCGGTACTTAAGCTGGTGCGGATGAAGAAAACTATGTCCCTCTCGCTAGTGCGAAAAGATAATTTGCATACATACATTCCATACATTATATTACATAAAATTATATTACATTGTTTCTACAATTATTCTAGCAATATCTATCCTAGTGCGGTTCTAGAAAGACCTGCCACGCACAGGCGGAAATATCATTGGTGTTGCATTTTTGCCCGCCGCCGCACCAAATGAAGAATTATTTTACTTGCCGCAGTAAACGTGTTAATACTTTTAGTTTCATGTGAATAGAATTTTGATACGCCAGTACACGTAGAAGCAAATTATTAATTCACTTGTAGCATTCGCTACAATATTGTAGCTCCTACGCGCTACGAAACTCAATTTCTATGCATGCAAAAAATGTGACTTCAATCATATTATTTTCTCTGTTTTCACATGAGTAAACATTTCATTAAAGTTTATGTCAAGGTAATTTGCGTGTCTAATGTCAGAACTTATCTTACTAGTATTTCTTTTGCGGTTATAGTAAGGTTAAGATATACAATGTCATTTATAACCTCAATTCACGAAACTCATCCAATGCATGAATAAAATTTAACCGCATGGATAAAATTCTAAAACCGAATTCCGAGTTTCAATAATTTTTTTTGGCTTCGAAACTAAATTCAATCTATTTCCGACAATAGCAAGTGTAACTATTTTTGCGGGCGCACACGTTTGATTAAACTATCGTACAACAGTTGTGCCATTGTCGGATAGCGACTCATTCAATTGTATAGTAGCATAACTAAAAATCGAGTAATGTGTGCACCTCATATGAATCAAACCGCGACTAAACAGTTGTGCAGAGTTCAGTGAGCGCGCGCTTTTAATGACGACTTATGTCAAATTGCGAAGTCTCAACCAGTTTAATCGGACCTCTTGTTTTTAAAATTACAAGTTTTTAAATTGCAATTTGTTTTACCAAAATATTATTGGACAAAGTTTGTATAAGTAGTATAACTATACATTTGTGTAACTAGGTGATATGCAATGTGGTATAGAAATGTTCCCGGTAAACTAGCGAGGCGTGCTATACTCTCACCTCGAGGGATCAGTGCTCCCTCTCTCCTAGCGTATACAACAGACCTGCTTTTTTGTTTTCTTTTATACACCTTTTTATATCAAAGGTTCTATTTTATTATAGCTTCATCCTAGTTATTCATTTGAATGTTAACTATAATGCAATTAGAATCAACTGACAGGCTCAGAGACGGTTAAATGGTCACTAATTGTCGTTTTATTGCAGCTTCGGACAAATAATCTTAAGAAACTCAGTTATTATATAGCTTAATGTTCAAAGTATAAAATCTGCAGATCTAAAATCATACTAATATTATAAATGAAAAAGTTTAGATGGATAGATGGATGGATGTTTGTTAGGGTCTGTAGTCTAAACGGCTGAATAGATTTCGACAAAATTTGGTACAGATGTAGAGGATAGAATGGAAGAACTCATAGGCTACTCACTTTGGTTTTTTTTTTATTCTACACGGACTGAGTTCCGGGGAAAGCTAGTAATTAATGAAATTGTCTCTCGGTTTATTCATCTAATTCGAAAGTGAAATCCATATAGCATTTTAAACGAATTGTATACTACCATAAACCAATTAATTAAAATAAATAGAAAATAAAATGTGTCCGTGAATAATCCGGCATATGCTTTCATATTTAATCCCTCCCAAACCAACCAAATGAAAACGCTTGACTTTAAGCTCATTGAAAACGACGCTTGTAGTAGACAAAGGTGGGCAGTGTGTATGACATTCGATTTGTTTCTGCTCTTCATATGAATGTAAGTACAAAGCTTTATAAATAATAATTAGGAAATCACTTTATTAAGTATCAAAACATATAATAAACAAAGGTTAAAGAAAATGAAAAAAAAAACTCTTGTTGAAAAAATGCTTTTGACATATTTTAACAAGTAGCCTGTATTTCTTTTATTAAATTCGGAGACAAAGGCTATAGTAATTTCTTTTATATTAGAGTATAATATTCGCCGTCTGTATTTAACATATGAAATTCAACAACTTAGGGTATCAAAATTACTTTCGTCGTTTCTCTATAAATAGTAAATGAAAAGATTTTCATGAACCGTGCAAAAACGACACGTGTAATTTCACAAACTGAAATAAATCGTACGTTCAAATTATCTAATTAATTGAATGAATTCAATAGCCATAGGATATGTATGAGCTTGCTACACCTACCTGTTCTAATAAATAAAGAACCCTAAACATTTAGTGTTAAAGTTCATTATTGTATAACAGGTGAAATTTAATTCGTGCCCCATCGCTCTTCAAAGAGACATTACAGTGAAAGGGCGGGAAAGCCGTTGATAAACTGGACCGCTTAGTACAGTCGAGTGCACATACAACGACACCTAACGGTCATGCATTGAACCTGATCTTTGTGTTAAATTAGAAAGTAACTAGTTTTCGCCCGCGACTCCGTCCGCATGGTATTAAAAAAACAAAACCAAGTAGCCTATGTGTTCTTCCCGACTATCCTCTTCATGTATGCCAAATTTCATTGAGATCCGTTCAGCAGTCTAGGCTACAAACTCTAACAAACATCCATCCATCCATCTAAGCTTTCACATTTATAATATTAGTATGATTGAATTAAATATACCGCGTTACTGTACCATTCGAACGTTTAGATGATGTCCAATGTAAAGGTAAGTACACATTCTAATTAATGGCATCTCTCTCATTGACTTTGAAAAGAGTGAGAAAGCAATATTTTTCAATGCTCAGTGTAATTTCACTTCCACTACATACACGCGAAAGGGACAATCTTTGCAGAAGTATTTAGCTGGAGTTTACATTGTCGTCTATGTTAATTGTTTCGACAAATTAAACAAGGACAAAATACGGGTTGTGCTAAAACTCAAGACGTAATTCTATTGACGTAATCCATATGTTGGCACAAGTGTTTTATTTTCATTTAAGGCGATATTGTAAATAATTCTTATTTATTCTTGTTATGTCAATAACGGAGTAATGTTGATATAATTAAATTATAGTACAATACTTTCCTAGCATTGTATATTAAAAAGTTTATTTGTAATAAAAACTAAAGTAAATAGTAAAACTTACATGATTTGTGACGTGTTACTCGCGTATTTGAATAAAAATAGAATGAAAGTTCAGATAAAAAGTACAGCATATTTTTTTTTATTATATTTTCTTTATTTCCTGCTGCTATGTTTTTTGCAGCAACCTTGTTATCTTTGTAGTTTTTTTTTGTCTAGTTCTTTAACTTGTGTTTTTTTTATACACATATATCTAATAAAATATATATGTGTTTTCTTCCTATTACAAGTTTTTTTTTAATACTGCATATTATATATGCTGAGTATTAGTTAAGCTATTTGCTTATACAAATATGTCAATAAATTTAGATAGAATTACTTCATTGATACTACATTGGTATTTTGTTAGTATTTTATTTACAAAACCCTGAAGTAACTAAACAAACACTGAATAAAAGAAATAAAACCATCTCTTTGATCGTTATCATCAAACTCAATAAAGAATTTAATTCTTTACAACAATAAGATCTATTTTAGGTCGATGATCAAGCTGTTTGTGACAACAGACTCCATGTTCCATTTAACCCGACAAATGTGTGCAATGACCGGAAACTGGCAGCCTCTAGATAATATAACCATTATGTTAACAAAGGATTTTGTTGCTGGCAACTCATTTTAAATTATTACAAAAATCTGCTTACGAATTATCAGGAAGTCACTGACTCCCTTTAAATGTTTAGATTCCATCATGTTTATATGTTTATACTAGCTGTTGCTTGCGGCTTTGCCCGCGTGAAATTAAAAAAATAATAAAAGATATATCCTATGTTACTCACAGATAAATTACCTTTCTAACGGTGAAAGAATTTTTAAAATCGACTTAGTAATTTTTGAGTTACTTCAATGCATACAAAAAATACAAATCTTACCTTTTCAGATAATTAATATAGATTAAGCTTCCTCTATAACATAAAATCTTTTTCGATTAAGCATCTAGTCGCACAATTAGACAGAGACAGCGACAAAGTCTCCCTCTAGCCACAAGATAGCTATTTCTATGGCATTTCGAGCTGAACCAGTGATAGTAAATTGTTTTTCATATTCGTGTTGAAGCAACCTGAGGTCTCTCGTGACGTCACATATCATCAGTTCAGTTACAAATGTATCAATAAAGAAATCAATCAGTGTTGGCAGTTTGCCAAAAATGTACTTCATATAGTGATAACGAAATTAGATCGTGGAATGCAATGCGTTAGTGCTTGTATCAGACAGAAGCAATAAATTCAAAACAGATATCTGAGGATAGCAGTTTATCCGGATCCAATGTGAACTGCGGCTTATTTATATTGAGGCCGGTACACATCTTGATCACATTTACATAGCTTATTTGGTAATATTAGTTGATAATTTGGCAAGTAATTCTGGACACCAATTAAAAATCTCTAGAACTAAGAAAAAATTACCAAAGTTGCCTAGATGCTTTTTCACTCTACAATTGCAATCAGTATACTAAGACCCAATTATAAATGCTTTAATTTAGAAAACTGTAAATATGAGGCGCCATTGCTGTGTTGACGTTGAACAGTCCACTGTCACTGTCGCCGGGCACGCAAACTTCAATCCAAGGATTCTAAATCATAACGTATTCCAATAAGGTTTAAATTGCAATGGCATAGTTGTTGAAATCAATTTAAACACAATTAAGGGGAAGAAAAATAGACAAACCACTGTGACGTCTGCTTTGCATTAAGTTGAACAAGTTGTTGACATAATTTACTATTTAAACAAACCAAGACAAGAAGTTTTATATTATAAGGTGGCAAACAAGCAAGCGGCAACGAGCGTGCGTTGCCTACCCTTAATCGATGGAAGCAGAGACGCACAAAAACAGGATGTTTCCCTTTCATGCCTCTCCTCCGCAATCATAACTTTTCCTTCCTATTCCTTACTGTTAAGAAAGGGGTGGAAAAGAAAAGGAACTAATATTAGCCCTATAGTAAATAATTTAAAACACAAATAGGCCGTTCAAATATTGCTTGAACTATGCAGCAATCGGTCCTGTAGTTAAAATGGGATACGTTATAAATTACTTACAACTTGTGGCACTACATCTGGAGGGTCGTCCCCAACGCCCGACGGCAGCTCCACCATTGTCTCCAGCCAGGCACGACCTGTAAGTGTTAACATAATTACAACACAAATAACGCCATCTTTATACTATTCAGTGTAACCAGAATAATTTATACCTTTTCTTCGTATTTAAAAATACTTAATAAATAAAATTTGTTAGAATTGGAGTGGTATATAAATATAAGATGACTGAATTTTAATTTATATTAGGTATGGAAAACCCCGAGAGTTTGGCAAGAAACCAACTGCAGTCAAAATCTGTATTTAGATAATATCTCGATGTTTAAAGCAATTTAACTTTAAGTTGCATGTTTATTAAATCTAATGAATGATTTTAATGCATTTTTATGACCTAAATAAGCTAATTTGCTATTAAAAGCTGTATTTTAAAGTTTTAAACTCTATGTGTTAACATAAAATAAAACTGGTTATAAAGCAGTAATAGTTGAGTATTTACCAGTTGCAGTTTTAAAGTTCTAATGGAAAACTACCAATAAAGCTCAACTCCGAACTCTCCATTAGCTATAATGTGGTAGGATTACATCTCCTACTAACTTTATGCGAGTGTAAATTATTTAATCATTTTATTATAAAACTATATTAAACATAGCCTAGTTACATTACTAACTAGCTGTTCCCGCGCGACTTTATCCGAATGAAATTATGACAATATTATTTTATTGTTTACATTTGTCAAATTATCAATTACAAATGTCAAAATGTCATGATAACAACCTTGCTTCCTTGATGTTGGCAGCAACTTATGGTCTCTTTCCCACATTAGGGTTTTTATCCAAAATGTATATCCCCTAAATTTAATGCGGTTAAAATAAAGTGTGACACAACTTTAGGGCTTTTTATAAAAAAAGAATTATTCAAAAACATGCTGAAATTGCTGACATCTTAGGCAACAAAGAAGTGTGTGTTTACGCTTTATTATATTAGTATAGATATAGATGGATAATCTAGCATTCGTGCTTAAATAATTTTTACTATCACTTGAGAAGTTTTCGAGGTTATTTGCTACAAACTTTTAGAAATATAGTTAAAACCATGTATTAAAGCAGCTCTAATAGAAATAATAAACAAAGAGAAATATACCGACATCGTAATTATAGTAATTATTATCCGCAGACGAACAAGCCCGCTAATTATTAATAATTTGGTATCCTTGTAATAACAAGCTACACGAACTAATTGCTTATTATATTTATATAGATATCATAGATAAAAAAATTGTTAGGAAAAATTGTTACCGTAGAAAATTCTCTTGAAATATTTTTAACAATAAATGTACAGGTAAGTAGAAGCGTGTGAAATAGGCTACTAGAATCTAAAAAATCTAGATGTTTATGATAAATGTAAATTTTAATAGTTAGTTAGTAGTTTAGTAAATTGCAGGTATACGTGTTTATTTAGGTGTAGAATTCCCCTTCCCGTATAAAGTGCTCTTGTCCACACGTAACGTGAAGCATAGAGGTTTGATCTTTGATAGTGATGGGACTACTCCAATACACTAATCATATCGAAATTACAGAAAAATATTTCTACTATTGAAAAATCTCTATATCGTTTTCTATGATTTTACTTTTTATGTAATATACATAAATTTTTAATCCTCTAATTTTACAATAGATTAAAATGTCCTTATTTAAATTTTGAATAACATAAATTCTTAGTATTTCAATTATTTGACTATAAAAATTAATTGTAAATCCAGTATATGCAATATTTAAACAACCAATTATGATCTCTTTTCTTATGTTTTTCTTTTAAACTCACTTTGAATTCTATTTTGACGATATAGCAACATCTCTAGCGGATGGCTATTCTTCGATACCAAAACAAAACGACAGCTAAGCGCTCTCTGAAAGCTTGTTTAATTTTTGTTCTATTATTTTATTGTTTTTGTAAGTTCTTTCTCTCTACACTTTTATTTGTATTGATAAAAATAAATCGCTTTTAAAACAAGCATTGACAATTTACAAGACATTTTAATAAGCATCCTTAAGGATGAATAAAATGAAATAAAAAAAATCTTAAGATTTTTTACGTCATAAACTAAACCAAACTAATTGTATTTTGTTGAGTTCCAAGATGCTTCTGTTATAAAGTATTATTTAACAGTATTATTTTGTTCTTGATATTCTTGTATTAGAGTCGTTAGTAATTTAATTTTGTTAATAAATAAATAAATTCGTACTAAAATCACAAACGAATTCACAAATGTAAAGAGGAATCCAATTCAACACGTGTCAAAGACACGGATCCAAATATAATTTGAACATTC